CAGTTGAATCTGTATGTAAACAAGCTGCACAAAATGGCGCCTCTGCAAAACCCAGTCTCAGCTGTCCACCAATGACTTCTTCACACACAAACAACATGTCTGCTGAAAGCAGAGACCTGACAGTTTCTAAAAATATAAGTTTCATCACAGTCCAACCAGAATTCACTCAACTAGCAGCAAAAAACAGAAGACCTAGCACTCGGATTTGAAAATTATAAAACATAAGTTTTACACGTTTTACACAGCGTCACTCACCGGACTTCTGGTTGTGTCCACGTGCCGTTTAAAAAATAAAATAAAATATAAAATGTGCCATTTTTACTAGTTAGCTTACTTATCAAATTTTTAAAGTTTTGTAACTAAAAACTTAAAAAATCTCTACTTTTGTAGGCGGAGCCAATCTGTGCCACAAGAAAAAACGTCTAAATATTTTAAAACTAAAACCTCTGTAACTTTGTTGTAGTTTACTTCAGCAGCAGGAGGTTTTGCACAGGTAATGTCCATAAGTGGATTCATGGTTTCCAAGAGTTTTTAGCCTGATTCATTATACTTTTGAAAAGGTTATATAGTGTATAATGCAGAAAAACCTCAGGCGAGGGGAAAAAGCTGTTTTTTCTATGTTTCATCCTCAGTATCTCTGAAACAAAAGCATATGATGTGATACTGACACTCCTGATGAAATCTCCCAAGTGTTAGCTTTATTTTGATATCAAGGGTATTTATATGGTGTTTTTTATTTTATTTTATTTTATTAACTGTTATTTCACCAGTAAGTCCCATTGAGATGTCAGATGTCTTTTTTAAGGGCGGCCTGGGCTCAGACACACCCACTTACATGCTTTTTCAGCACAAACTTCCAGAAAACCCCTGGGGGCTTCCCAACTGGTCTCCAACACTGACTTTAACATGACTTGTTGAAAATTACTTAATAGTTGCACATAATAAACAGTCACAGATTGTGTTGAAAAAAAAAATCACAAATTTCTCTCCAAAAAATCAGATGTGTCATTTCTTAGATCACCTGAATATTTTTTGTTTTTGTTGTTGGTAACTCATCTTTATTTATTTATTTATTTTGGTAACTCATCTTAAGAATTTCATGAACCAGTGTCTTCAGTAAACATGGCACGTTGAAGCCATCGTTTTAAAATGACAACAATAAAAACACAGTTGGTTGTTTGTGTTTCTTCTCCAGGTGTCCCTTCTGCTCCTGGGAAGGTTGTTGCCACTAGAAACACCAAGTCGTCTGTTTTTGTTCAATGGGAACCTCCAAAAAGTCAGAAAAACCTTCTGGGATATTATATTGACGGCCGTGCTGCTGGATCCAAAGACTGGTTCGCTTGTAACCACAAACCCTTCAGACACAACAGGTGAGAAATACTGGACCATCTACAAATTTATGTTTACTTATGAGTTACTCAAGCCTTTGCTTAGTGCTTTTAGGCTTTTTTAAAAATTTGTTTTACACTTTTCGATCATTTCCTGTGGGCCTACCACCTACAAGTCAGGTGCATGACATCATGGGTGGGGATCTTGGCAGTCTGACCCTGGCCTACCAAAGCTGGGTCTTGGGACATGGATTCTGATTTTGGTAAGAAAGGAGCCTGTGCTCAGTAGGGATGGGTACCGAATTTGATACTTTTTTAAATACCGATAGAATTCTGTCAGTACTACTGAGTACCTATTCACGTAACATCAAATGTTTCGGTACCTAAACGCATCATTGCGACCATATTGGCGTAAGAGTGGGAGATTTTCCATGCTTGTCCTGAACGCAGCATCGCCCAAGAGCGTAATGACGTCAGCACCGCTGGTTCAGTAAACAGAGTTTGGTCTGAACGTAGCTTGAAAGCAGCGTTGCCAGGTCTGCTTTTTATAAGTGACTTTGAGTTTCTTTTTTTCTAAAGTCGCTTGTAGATTCTGTGAGTCACGGGTTGTGGTTTTTTGGGCTTATTTTGAACGTGAGTTGCTTATTTTGGGCTTGTCTTTCTGAATGACATGCTTAACTCTGCTCCTGTTCAAGCAGAACACAAGCAGTAGTGTAAGTAAAGTTTTATTTATAAAGCGCCTTTTACAGAAATATATTCACAAGGTGCTGTACAATCATTAACAGTATAAAAATGGTGAAAAGAATAAAATGAAACAGAAAAACATAATTACACATAAGCAACGAAAAATTGAAACATCAAATCAGGAATTAATTTCTAAAATTATAAATCAAACACAAGGTCAATGTAGTTCAAAATACACAATAATACACAAAAACATAATGAATGTGAGAGAGAAAAATATGGTGTAAGTTCAATAATTAAAACCACAGATTGATGAGCAATGGAGGTAGGCCTGCAGTAATGGTGAAATGGTTAGCTAAACTCTTGAGAGACAAGGTGAGTTTTTAGGAGTGACTTGAAAGAGACAATTTTATCAAGGGCAGATGAACAGGGAGTTCATTCAGAGCCTGGGGGCCACAGAGGAGAAGGACCGGTCACCACGGGTCTTAAAGTGAGTGAGGGGAACMATAAGGAGATGTTGATCCTGTGAGTGGAGGTCTCCTCTGGGGTTGTAAGGTGAAATGAGACTTTTAATGTATTCTGGTGCTTGGCCATGAAGAGCTCTGAAGGTGAGGACCAGGACTTTGAACCAGAAACCAGTGAAGTTCTGCTGGGATCGGGGAGATGTGGGTGTGTAGTAGTGGGTTTGTCCCCCCCCATTCCCCCGTTTCCTGTTCGTCACTCCCACCTGAGTTGAGTCGGCACACTTGGGGAGGCAGGGTGGTCCGGTCCGGTCCGGTCCAGAACTTATGACAGGAGACTTGATACAGCACACATGTGCGTCTACATCTAAAACACAGAGGGGTGCGCTCCATTTAATGGACTGGGACATTTTACACAGGTGGTGCACAGAAAAATAAAATAAAATAAAATACGCTGCTCACACTGGGATATAACTACAGTACAGTAAAATACTGATAAGTTTTAATTTGTTTGGAATTTGCTGATTAAATTGCATGAATTGAGTGAGAGAGAACAACATGAACCAGAGTTATTTTTTTATATCAACAAAAACTACTTCTTCACCGTTAAGTGACAAACAGTGAGAATGAGCTGCAGGAAGTCAGGAGAAAATGGGGACAAATATAATAAAAAGTGAGGGAAAAAAGAGTACACAAAGGTTTTAGGAGTTTTTGTTCACTGTACTCTCACTTCGCTGCAAAATGCACTTTTCTTATGATCAGAATTTAAAATTATATGTTATTAAAATAACTTAAATTATTCAAAACATTAAAGTTGTTCATTTTTTATGGTAAATTTTATTATAATTTTGCTGTTGCTTTTGTATAATAAAAATGTATACATTAATACAGTACTGTTAGAATTGACCTGGGGGGGTGCCAGTTGGGTTTATTTTGGGCTTGTTTTCATAGAGCTGGTTGTTTGTTTCTGTTGTGAGATCTGGCAACACTGCAAACAAGCCTCGCAGCTCCTGGAGTGAAACTCAGCGAACAGATCACCTCTGAATTATCTGCTGGATTAATTATCTGCTGGATTCATTATCTGCTGGACTAATTATCTGCTGGATTAATTATCTGCTGGATTAATTATCTGCTGGATTAATTATCTGCTGGACTAATTATCTGCTGGATTCATTATCTGCTGGATTAATTATCTGGTGAGCACGACGTTCACTTGCTCAAAGTAAATAAAGTAGCAGCACTTTCTTTATTTCATCCAGCATTAAACAGAGAGCAGCAGAGGAAAACAGCTTCCTGACAGTCTGAACACGTCTGACCTGAAGCTTTGGGCTGTTTTAGATGTTCAAAACGTAGCTTAAATACCTTTCATTTATTTTAACTGCATCCTCTTTTCTTTATTTGATTTAAACTTATTTGCCTTCCATGGACCTCCATCACACAATTTTTTCTAGTGGGGAAATGACATCAATAGAAACACGTGGAGCTGGATTTTAATTTGTGTAATAAGACAAAACAGTTGTTGTTTTCACAGATTGTAGTGTGAAGAGCTTTGAGTGTCCTGGTTGGGTAGAAAGGCGCTACATAAGTACAGTCCATTTACCAGAATATTTTGCCACCTGAATAAAGGTGCTGATAATTCATGTTTACCTCAAAGCAGCTGGTTAAAAACGGGGAATATCCCCAGAAATCAGGGACATTTGGTCACAGTTTCTTTATTTTTCAGGGATGCTGAGGTATAGTTTTAGGTGTGCTAAAGAATCCCTAAATCAGGGCTAGACACGCCCATGTTTCTAGATATGTTTTCTCATTTTGTCTCTTATAGTTTAGGTGTAACTATGATGTCATTTACAGACCTCTGTCATAGTTGGAAGTGGGAGAACTTGTGGCTGACTAAATACATTTCCCCCCCACTGTATACCAAAGTGTGAGATCGTAAGATAAACTCTTATCTCATGCTAAAATACTCAAAGATGAGCGTTTACCTTTGTCTTTTATAGTAATTTATTACAAAAATATAGAAAAATACAAATCATGAATAAAAACAGTAAGGTCTTGATATTTAAAACTTTATAGGAAGAAAATGTATTTTCCCCCAAAGGAAGTATTTTTGTATTCTATCAATTACCGTATTTATTCATGTAAATACCATCATCATTTTTTGATCTTAAAAAGCATAAAAATTGAATCATCAATAACCCGTGTACAATACTATCCCCCCACCTTATGGATGATTTTTAAGGTTAAGTTTCTAGTATTATACATGAATAAATACAGTAACTGACAAGTGACCCAGGTTAAAACCTATAGGTTTGTCAACTTGGAAAGAAGACGTTAAGATCTGGGTCAGATTAAATATTAGTAATTTTATTTCTGCAGATTAGTATCAGGTTTAGGTGTGAGAATGAGCCCAGATCCGGACAGAGGATAAAGTATAAATAAAAGGATTTATTAAAGAAAAACAAAGAGCTGTCAGGGCAGCAAAATAAACTGAAACACTGAGGAAACAAGGAAGGGCACAGGAACAAGACAGATGGACGAAGCCAGACTATCTATAATCGACTGCGTCTTGCGGAGCTGAGGAATCATCACAGCTGAATTTGCTGATTTGAAAATGTTTTTTTCTCAGTGAAAAATAAAAATGCTTCTTAGAAAATTCACACACATTTAATTTCCCTCAGCTGTGTGTGCGCTCCGCAGGCCTACAGGTTGGGTATTGAAAGGGTTTATTTCGATACCGGTGCTAAATCGATACTTTCAAAACGGTACCGGTTCCTAAACGGTATTTAAATCGGTACTTTTAAAATAAATAAATAAAACAAACACACTCACACAGAGGTTTATGAAGCAATGATTATTTCTGAGGCAAAGTCAAACTTAAAATTGACCAACATATTAACTTAAAACTAGAAAACATTTAAAAAAATTTAAATATCATGTTTTATCTAGTGCTAAATATTCAGTTCTTAATTTGTATATTAATCAGAGTAATATATCTTTTACATAAAATAAAATGATTGTTTTAATATCCCAGCATTTTTGATGCAAAAACAGCAGCAGGCCTAAATAAAACTGTCAGAGCAACTCAGAGAAAAAGCACACACACGCACACACACGCACACACACGCACACACACACACGCGCGCAGCGCTCATAGTCTGCCTCAGTCTGCACCTGTTTTTTTACACCAGGCAAAAAATGCATTTAAACCAGCTGAAGTTAAGTTTAGAGCACAGTTTGAAAAGTACACTGAAGGAAAACTGCATCACGACTTTTATACTGCGGTCAGAGCTAACGTGATCTGCAGCGTCTGTCTGCTGCACGGCGGCAGCTCTAACGTAACAGCGAGAAAGGACCRAGAGCTTTGTATTTTAATTCAGCAGGGAGAACAATACAGGTGTTCTTCTATGCCTCCTGTGAGCAGTTCCAGCATTTTTTAAAAGAAAAACAACGTGCACACGCTGATTACAGTGCAGATTCAAACCGAAAGTAAAAACATGGTGCTCGCCGTGCTCCCGTTTGAAGTGAAACTTAAACTCAGCTGTTCTCTCTACCACTCATAATCCAACACAGCAAACAAAAACAGCTAAATTAGACAGTTAAAACACATTAAAAGTTCATAATTCACCCTTATTGTTGTTGGCACTCAGTGGAGATTGTGTGCCGAGGCTGTCGCTGTTAACAGTGAACACCAGAGGGCGCAATTAACAGCTTTCTTTGAGGCACCGAAATAAAGCAGCGAAATTAGAGTTGTGTTTCGGTCTGAGTACCACCAGTGATCTTCGCCCCGGTGCCATACTGGAACCGAGTTTCGGTACCCAACCCTACGCAGGCCATGCGCTCTGCGTGTGTTTCGAACTACGTGACAAAAATATAAAACCAGTTTACAGACTGGACTGAGGTTCTTTTGATCAGTTTTAGACTGATCTATTTTCAGTCCCGGGGTTCAGTTTCATCATCGTTCAGTTTAAACAATAAAAACAAAGTAAAATAAAAATCTAACAGCGTGTTCAGACGCTCCTTACATCCAGAAAACACAACAGAGTCATATTTCTGTGGATTCAGCTCAGATTCATGGCAGGTGAAAACGCAGCGTTGGTTTTTATACATCCCAACTCAGACTGTTTACCTACTAATACGTTGGAAGGCAACAGTCTGCTGTATTCTGGCCTACTTTAACCTAGCCCAGGTCATTTTCTCTAAAATTAACCTTAATGCCTCATATTAACCAGCTGACAGTCTGAAGCCATTCTATGGGACTGATAACCGCTGATAACGTCCATTTAATGGACTGATAACATGTGAATCGGGTGAAAGAAGAGAAGTTTGAGAGTGATGTGCACACTTTGGTTTTAAAGTTCTTGAGGAGCAGAGTTTCTAAGTTAGTTGATCCAATCACAGGAATTTGAATTGCTCAGATTGAATCTGAATATGCAGAATTTGAAAATGAATTTCACTAAACTGAAACTGAATTTAAAGTTTTTAATTTTAACGAATTTGCTTTGAAACTGTATTTTGGTTTATTAAAACTTCAGTTTGACTACTTTCACTTTCAGTTCCAAAATTCAGATTTTTGTATCACACATCCGTGTCCTTGAGAAAGCCAGGCAGAGTAATCAAACACAACATCAAAAAGGCATTTGTGCCCACAGAACTGCCGCTCACTGGATATTTTCTCTTTTTTGGACCATTCTCTGTAAACCCTAGAGATGGTTGTGGGTGAAAATCCCAGTGGATCAGCAGTTTCTGAAATACTTGTCTGGCACCAACAACCAAAGTAACTTAAATCATCTTTCTTCCTCATCCTGATGCTCAGTTTGAACTGCAGCAGATTGTCTTGGACATGTCTAAATGCCTAAATACATTGATTACAGTGACAGAAATGGGGGATGGTGTTATTTTGTGGCAGGTTTTCTCTGTCATTTTTAGGGCGAATGGCCGTCTTCAGATAAACGTAGCTTATTCTCGGTTTGAACTGCATTGAGTTGCTGCCATGTGATTGGCTGATTCGACATTTGTGTTGATGAGTAATTCGACAGGTGTACCTAATAAAGTGGCCGGTGAGTGTATGTGTCTTCTCTCATGTTGTTTGTTTATAATAATTAAAACTTATTAAGAGTTGTGAACTCAATACATCCACACAAATTCAACTGAAATGTCCCTGAACCACAGTTGGAACGATGATCTTCAGATTTCTGAACGTATTGTATTTTTTTAAACCAGCATACCCAAATCTCATGACCATAGATGAGGGTAGGAACGTAGATCGACCGGTAAATCGAGAGCTTCGCTTTCTGACTCAGCT